AATGGCACATCGCAACCAACCCAAAATGTTTTTAATAAAGTTCCCTAAAGGATAAGGAATGAGAAGATAAGAAACACTGCTTGCAACCTAACCTACATAAGAATAATTCAGCCACATAAAACTAGCCACTAGCAGTTGAATTTTACGCATACATGTAAGCTAGCTGCGGGTGTATTAAAAGGTTAACTATTCTTTATTTGAATATAGAGCGACTATTAAAGGAGAGATAATTCTAGACATGAGCAATTTAATGAACCAAGATAAAATCTAAAACATTGTGGAGGTAAGTTCCTCTTTAATAAAATCTCATTTTGATGCCGTAGAGAGAGAGGGTCTCTCGTTTCATGGACTGCCGTCAAATTCTAAAAGTCTTCTCCCTTGTTTGAATCACGGAAATGAAAAGAGATCGCGATCTTTCAAAGGGAATCGCCATATCAAAATCTGCAGCGAACACTTCACTTTGGATGATTTTATTAATCAACACTCCAGTAAAAAACGATCGAAGGCCAATGCAGTTCCTTCGATGTTTTTGTTTTTTAAAGAGAAACAGAAGAAGGTTCAACCGGTGAAGAGGTCTGCTTTAGAAAAGCTGGATCAAGGCAGAGCCAAAGAAGAAGAAGCAACGGATACGGTAGTAATGGTAGTATCTTTATTTACACTCGATAAAAAATCTTCAGTAAAAACAGTAGCGTCCAGATCTATCTATTTACAAAATTAAATTGGTTAAAATTATCAAAATACTGTACAAGATTGCCGAGTGAGAATCCCAATGACTCAAATACACAGTTAATTCGCTTTTTAAATTCACCTATTGATCTGATTTCTCTAACGTTCTCAGGTGATGAGTTCACATAAGAGAACCGCTGGAACTAAAACTGAGTTTTAAGTTATTAATACGTGGCCTTGGCTGCGTCAGTTTACCAAAAGAGTTACGCAAATCATAGTTTGTGCTTCGCTCGTTAAATAGGTCCCGCAAATTCATTGGAGCTTGGCGTTTGGGGATTTAAACATCATTATCGTCTTTTGTTTCTTTGTCCTTATTTCTAGTCGGTCCCAATTAAGTATTTCGAGAAGCAGGTTTTTGCTAGTATCGTAATCGGCCTTTAAAATTGCTCTGGCTTCTCGGTTCTGTAATTTTTGTAGTTAATGGCTTAACTGAGTACTTAACATGTCCCAAACGAAGGTACAGTGATCAAAGTGAGGTTGGATCAGGGTGTTGTTAACTGGTATGGCAGTAGATTCGGAAGTTAGAGGCCTGATACGTCTAAAAAAAACCTATTGCGGAAGATACCTTTCTACAAATTTCGTCAACATGCTAATTAAATACCAAAGTTATTACACGAAGTCATATCAAAACTTGTCGGTGTTAAAATTCTTAAAAATGCGAGTTTCAACAGAGCAGTACGAATCAACACGTTCATAGCGTGTTTTTATCGTCATGAACACAAATGAATGATTGCTAATACCAAGATGAACCAAGACCAATCAGTGTTCGTGATATCGGTGTAATCCTGGTTGGTTCAGAAATCATTTGACACAATCCGTAAATATCAAATATGTTCGTTAAATGCGACGAAGTATGGTTGTTTGACCGATCATGCAACATGTCACAATTCAGGCCTCCGAGTAGGTAGAAATCCTTGCGTTCTAAATCAATTTTATCTACCGGGTTTTCAAATCGATTAACAATTTCTTTTTGGGAACTTGGCGGTCTATACCATGCATATGCTTATTAAAAAAGGCCTGGAATGCGGTCTGGTGATTTCGATAACAAAACTTTCAAGTTGGTCATCTTTGAAGGCCTCCCAAACACGGTAATTTATGTTGTTTCGTAAATAGACACATGCACCGCCATTACATCTCCTGTTCACGGTACGGTCCCTTCTAGCGACGTCAAATACCGGTAGATTTATTTCTGAATCACTGATGTAACTATCAAGCTCGGTCTCATTGATCGCTAATACATCGAGTTTTGAACTACTCATAAATATCTTAAGGTCGTCAATATGGGCGAGTAAAACTATTTATAATAAGTGATGCCATGACAAAACCGCGACCAAATGCATTAAATTCCAGTTTCGATGGTTTACCCTTATTGCCGCAGGACTCCCTGGAAGACGTACACTCATTAGATTCCCACTCGACAATATTCTAATCTCCTCTTAAATACTTAATAAAGTTTGACGCCAGACGAGCAGTCCTCTGGTGTTCAAGAGGAGACCACTTCTATTCAGGTCGTGATCGACAGAGATATTTGAATGGTCGACATATCCCCAGAAATTCTGGTTGCAGAATTTTCCTAGTATCTTGTCTAAGCTAGATACTTTAACGCCTGATTCTCGTTGTCAGATCTTGAAACAAGGTCTGATGTCGTCAGTTCAGCTGAAGATTCTTCGTTTATCATGTGGGTTAAATTACTAATTTCCTCACCACAATCACGCAGGGAAGTCTCTGAAGGTCGAAGACTGTTAGTGCCAACATGGATTACAATTTCGTCCGGGTTTTTCCGTGATATAGATTTAATATGGTCTCTCATGTCCTGCATAGAAAAACCTGGAAATGAAGAAATTTTTACTTTAGCAGTACCGGATATTTTACCCCCTTGTAGATTCTTCAAGATGGAGTCTTCTAATATGAAAACTTCTCTTTGCTTGCGTTGTGTAGTCCCGACTCCATCATCTGTATTTGTATTTGTTCGTGCAGTATCTGGTTGGCTTGCTGACGAATTTTACGCTTGCGAACGTCTCCTATTAACCTTTGTGTCTGTCGAAGGCAGAATAGAATCATCCTAGGGCCCCGTATCGACACGGTTGTTATGAGGTCGTGTGACCGATGGGTTTTGATACGATTCTTTGGAAACTATTTGGAGTGCTCGTTTGAGCGAATCTCTTTCCTCTCGAGTGCCTATTAATTCCTTCTGTGGCTCGAGGCAGCGAACTCTGGTGGCATGTAACTCATGTTGAGGCTTGGTTATCTTTCTTTGTAGCAGCAAGTTCTTGCAAGGTATTCGAGGTATTTGTACTTTGCGAACAGTGCATGTAGCTCCAAATTTTTGTGATTTAGGCTCGCAATTCTTTAATTTCGCTCAGAACGTCAGGAGGAATATATATGAGGAGGATTATATCTGTAGTTCTACCTTCCTGCCTCTTCCAGCTGGCATTCCAAAGGTGATGGCTTTGCTGTAGTTAAGCCTACCAGTCTTACGCTTGTTAGCCACCAGCCACTTCAAATATGCCTCAAGGGTTCTTCTTTTTAATGAAGCAGCGACAGCATGAGCACGCAAATAGGACGCGGAGTACCCTTGGCAGTCCTTACAGGCTACCTTTCCGTTAGGGTACACGAAGATGATATGCGGCTTCGTGGGCTTTGATTTTGAGGGAATGATGAGGGTGTCGTATGCTGATGCTGCCAGAAACTCTGTTACTTTTCCTTCCTTCAACAATGCTTCTCCTTTGTGCGCAATGAGCTATAAAACGTCTGGGGTAATCCAGTCTACCTCAGCAGAAAGAATCTGCTGGAAAACAGCAGACTCGCCTTCCACTAACTTTTTGTTCACAGAGGCTACACTGTTAGGAGAAGTTTCTTGAAGAACAAGGTGGTGAACGCGCGAGAGGGCTTCTTTTCTCTGGTCGTTTGTCATCTTGGCCCATTTGTCGCCTGTAACAACTAGGTGGCGGAACTCCGGACGAAGTTGGTACTCTCCTTTGTCCAATACAGCCAACTCCAGTTCTTGCCCCAGGCTATTCACTAATTTCTCGAGGGTCTTTACTAGGGTGTATTCGTCAATTTTGGCAGTTCCGCGTTCACCCTTTACGCAGTCCTGAAGGACACCGTTTTTGCGTTCAGATCGATTGGTTGTGAATTTGTCTGGTGGGCAACCGAGGCCAGCTCTCTGACGGACGGGACTAATAACGCTGCGTATGAATCCTTCGGTTTTTTTCGAGCCAAACCAAGCGTGGAAGGCTTTTCCAATTGAGTGGAGCGATGATCACTTTTCCTCCTAACTTTCAAATAGGCCAATACATTGTTCTGCACTTCCTGCTTCTGACAGTCCACTCCCAAAAATACTGCCTATCTTTCTTCCAAAAATATTATCCTTTGTACTCTGCTTACTCTCTCCTTTAATGTCCATAGACACAAAGTTTGTGTCTATATTTTTGTGAAGGTGGATTTCGCAAAGCAGATGAGTAGCTCTTTCGTAGGTTTCGTTAAAACCCAACGCCTTTTCGTCATTTGTCCCGAAAGCCATTAGATTCTTCAGTTTCAAGAGACTTCAGGGTCCCACCAAAGAGCGAATACGTGGATTGTGTCTTCTTTTCGTGTGGAAGCACTGGGCCAATCATTGTTGGGTGTTTACCGTCTTCCCTGCGAAGAACTATGAGATGCTGGTATGAGATCGGTGTGACATTGTATGGACCAAAATCAAACGTTAGGTCCACGGTTAAAGGCCGATACTCCATCGGATTACACCAGAATCGCTTCAGATCATCCAGCTGTCTGTTCGTTCCCACGAACAGACAGCTGCTATAAGCCTTAATGGTTCCATTGAAAGTGTCCTTGTTGCTTGCATATTTTCCAGGTTCAGCCTGTTATAAACAGAATATTAAGATAGCAGCTTCTACCTGATAAGTTTGAATATTCTCATTACCTGTTTGCTGAAGAATGTGTGGATACTGTAGGGAGAAGTTTTATGTTAATCACTTCTGGGAGTTAAAGGGTTAACAGGGTTTTGTAAGTTTTGAAGTTGGAGGGAAGCTATTAGAGACAAGGCAAGCAGGAAATACTGTTGATGTCTTCATTTTCAATTTGAATGAAGTTGCCTTCCTGTAGGGTCTATTAGTTTTTGCAATGGGAGGGGCTCAAACTTGCACCTCTCTCGGTAATGGAGCATGGCAAGGTTTTCACAATTTTTTATTTTTTTATTTTTCAAATTATCTCTTTCTTATTGCAACAAATTAATATTGAGTATGTTAAATGTTAACTTAATGTGAGGTTTTTGTATGATTGGTTTTACTGGGTACTCCTACAGGACATGGAAATCCAAGAAAGGTGAAGTAGGACAGGCAGTCAGGCTTGCTTTGCAGTATGGGTACCGACATATTGATTATGCACATGTTTATCAAAATGAAGACGAAATAGGGGAGAGTCTTACTGAGGTGTTTAAAGAAGGAAAAGTGAAACGTGAAGGTATCTTCATTACATCAAAGCTCTGGTAAATAATAAGTTTCTAAACTTTCACTATTTGTTCAATGGGTGGATATCATTATCGGCTGGATAAATCTTTATCTGGTGGATGGTGCAATATGTTTTGTAAACACTTATCTGCTGGATAACAATTTATCAGTCAGGTAGAGTTATCCATCCTTTGAACAACTGGGCTCTGATGTTTATTTCTGATATGCGCTGTAAGTAGCTGTAATGTTTGGCAAGGCATATGGTAATGTTGCATGAATTTGATGGTTTTGATTTTTGTCATGGATATTAGTTATCTTAGAGTGCTGTTTATGCTTCTTAAAGCTTTCACAAATAACCCATGGGTAAGATTTCACTATTGTAGACATGGTGTGACACAGTTCATTAGATTAAATGCTTGATTTAAAGGAATAACTTCCAAGAAATAGTATTATGACTTTTACTGGTTTATACTGCAGTTTTATCTTGATTATTTTGTTTAAAAATTAGGTGCAATAGTCAGGCACCTGAGGATGTTTTACCAGCATGTGAGATAACGCTGAAAAATCTGCAGTTGAAGTATTTGGATTTGTATCTTGTAAGTATAAAACTTATCCAGACTATGCTTTCCCCCCTGTCATTTTTCTTGGTAAAGTTTTTTTAAAATCTTCATGTATAATGCTATGAGGGATTTTCCTTCTAAATGCTAATTTCTACCAGACTCAGTAGAGATCTACATGTATCTATCTTTATTTATCTCAATATGAAATGTTAGTCTGGTCTCAAAATTGTAAGATTTTATTGAATCAATCCCTAACCCAGTGGAACAAGCCCTTGAGCATTTCTGAAGAGGCACCCCCTTTAATATTCCAGTGTTAATTTCAACAATTTTTCAATAGATCCACATCCCCCTTGCTTTCAAAAAAGATGTCCCTTTTCCTCACTCCAAGGCAGAAGGGGTGATAGGTTACTCACCCGAAGGCATGGCCAAGACTTGGCAGGTAAGGCTACTCATAATAGTATAAGTGTGTTGGTATCATTACTAACAATGCTTTGATTTGATCAAGTTTGGCTGAACTGAAAATATAAACTATATGATCCCACCTACACTGTAATAGGAGTGATATCCTTTATTTGTGAGTGCATGTGTGTGTGCAACATTGAGCTTTCTCTTACATCGTATGAGAAGGACATGTCTCTAGAAGATTCTCTTGTTAAAGCACAACTTTCTTCACTTTAATCACACAACAGCATTATAGGATTTAAACACAGTAAGGATCTAAGTGACAATATTACAACACCACAACTATCTGGTACCCTATGCTCCAGGCATTCTGCAAAAAACCCAAGCAGGAGTTGATATTAAACCTTTAACTCCCCAATCAAATTTGTAATTCTTGTTACTGTCAACCACACAATTCTTATCATGTTTGTTCAGAAAATTTAGTATTGGATCAACTAATCATCTCCAAATGGATATTTAATTTTCTCTATAATTTCTTATTGTTTATCTGGTTGATATTTTATTAATATATATAGAGGAGAAATTATGTCTTGGTCACTCTTGGGAGTTAAAGGTTTAGCCTTTAACCCCAAGAGTGAGTAGCAGCTAATTTCTCTGTCCAGTGTAACTGCTAAATCAAACTGCAAGGTCATAAGTATAAAACCAACTATGCATGGGAGCTCTGGACTGTTGATAAAATTCTCCTCATAAGCACCAGAGTAAATGTATAAAGAACAGTATGGAGAATTTGTATTCTGATGTCAGGGTGTAAAGGGTTATATATAAAACCAACTATGCATGGGAGCTCTGGACTGTTGATAAAATTCTCCTCATAAGCACCAGGGGAAATGTATAAAGAACAGTATGGAGAATATGTATTCTGATGTGAGGGTGTAGAGGGTTATAGAGCACAGCCACTTTGGTCAGAACCAGTACTGTCAGTTCTCAGGACTGGTCCATTTTATATTCAGATGGTAGAGCCTTTATAACCTTTGAAGGAGGAGATGTACAAAGTTGTAGCCTTGTGGAATTTGATGAAAATAACATGCTTTGGCCAGTAATATAATGTAATAAATGTTTTTCCTTTCTACCACTTAAAAGGCAATGGAGCAGCTGGTGGACAAAGGTCTCTGTAAAGCTATTGGCATCTCAAATTTTACAATTAAGAAGACAAAAACTCTTTTGGAAACTGCCAGAATAGTTCCAGCTTGTAATCAAGGTATGCTGGTGTTTGATATTTTTTTATTTGCCTGTTTTTTAAGATTAAATTACATTTATTTTCTCATTTGTATGATGGAGGTTTGGCTGGGCAGTTTTTGTTCAAGGAAGAATTCATCCCTAATAACAGATATAACTTTCTCAATTCAAGGCAAATGAAATCTCTGTTTCTAATTAGTGTCATTCTCTCTCTAAATTGTTATCTTCAATGAGTTCCCCCTCTACCCCCCTATAATCAATATTACAGCAAGTTGCAAGCTTGTTAATCATAGATGTACATTTTTTCAAAGTTTGTGACTCTTCTGTCAGATGTGCAAAATTCAGTTTGTTCAGTTAATTACTATCATTGCAACTGCCTTTAAAATTAAGTTTGGAGGTTTAACAGAAAGTGTACAGTAATTTTCTATTTTTTTTTTTCAATATGTGTTGGGAATTCAAGAATACAATCTTTTGTACAAGATGGGTGGTGTCTGCCTTATTTTTCATGCATCTTATGTACTTTGCCCAAAATTTGATTTTTCCCTTCTGTGATTTGTCTAACAGTGGAATTACATCCATATTTACCTCAGCCACAACTATTGAAGTTTAGTGCTGACAAAGGTTAGTTCATAACTGAATGCATTAAGTCTATTTGATGACTTGTGATTACCTTTTCTTGAACTTCAAAGACAGAAAAGCTGATTTCCTGATCTCTAACCTCATTACAATTTAAACATAGTGCACTGTTGGTATAGTGAAATATCTTGGAAAATTGATAAGCAGACAAACAAGAACATAAGGGCATTAAAGTTTTTCAAAATTATCTTACATGTAAGTGTGAACAAATATGTGGCATTCTTCCTGTGTTGTGCTGGCACTGTTCACATAGGAATGGAGGCTCCTCTGATCATTTGGCTTTCAGGGATGATTGTTTGAGTGTATAAAATATTGGGCCTTAGTTAACAGTTATTCACCAAAGTTGAAGTGAATATTGTTGAATTATCCCCAAGACGAAGTTGAAGGGATTATTCAACAATATTTATCAAGCCTGAAGTGAATAATTGGTTTAGTATAATTGCTTAGGTGCTTTTGAGTTCTGTTGAAACTTTTTTGCTGTTGAAACCATTCTGTTACAATTTTTTTTTTGATTACTTGTATTGAGAAAAGAAGCCAGTTTCCACTCGAATTTAACAGGTTTACTAAATTCAATCAGTGAAAACTTCATATCTTTCTTTGGAAAAGTATTTTGCCAAACTCAGTAGCATCTTTTGTGCTCTTCAAAATTGTATTTTTTCTGTTGCTTTAGTCACTTCCTCAGTAAAAGGCGAGGCAGCCATTTTGAAATTTAGCCTTCTCCCCGCCACTATTCCCCTACTATAATCACCTCGCGTAAGGTAATTATAGCGTTATATGATGCAATCAATGACTAATCAAAGTGTGCGCATCTCAATAATCTCCAGAGCACAGATTGTCCTGAATTTAGCCTGCCACAAATTATAAATATTAATGTATCATGTTCACTGTTTTGTATCATTTGTATACTACTGTTACAAATACTTTATAGATTGCTGTACAGTGAGTCTCCAATTCTTCCAGTTTCCCTCTGGATACTGATATGTTATTTGGTACGATTAGGAAAATTGTTTATGCATTTTAGGCATTGTTGTGACGGCATACTCTCCTCTGGGCTCTCCTGATCGTCCTTTTGCCAACAAAGATTCTGAACCTGTGATACTGCAAAATCCTGTGTTGAAGAAAATCGCTGAAAAACATGGCACCACTTCTGCTTTGGTGAGTTTGCCTCTTCTCCTGCTGTTCACAAGTATAATCTATAGAACTCTACTTTGCTGTGGCTTATGGATAATTGGCCCAATTATTCAGTATCATAAACCTTAATCTCTCAAATGTGATTAAAATAGAACTTCTCCTTACACTTTTAACACATTTTCTACCAAATTCTTGGTTTTTGATTCTCTGGAAAAATTGACGAAGAAATTCATTTTATTAGATCGCTCTAGCCTTTTGAATATGTTTTATTTGAATATTATAACGTGAAGGGTTTTCTGAGATGTTCTAATCCAAAGAAAAACAAGAGCTGGCATGAAGCAGAGCATTATAGTGTGAGGTGTATAAGTTTTTAAGCTATTTTAAAGCTTTTTTTGTGTGGGGGGGGGGGCTTTTTTTGGGATTTTAGACTTAAAAGTTCTTATCTTTATTTGTTTGGAATTTGTCCTCCCAAAAGCCGTCTCTGAAAACCACATCAAAGAGAACCTTGAAGCACTTCATGTAAACTTAGATGAGGATGACATGAAAGCGATTGAGAATATTGGAATACGCCACCGTTATCTCATGCAGGCGTGGATGTTCCAGCCGGAGGAAGTTCCTGAGAATTACTGGAATGGTGAAGAATGATTGGCTACTGAACAACAACTTACGGATAGCTTCATGAGTGAAATTTATAGGACAGCATGCAATTATTGTGAGAGTTTTTCAATTTTAGAGCAGCGATTAATTTTTGTGTTATTTTTCTCATTTATTGGAAGGAAAATTGACTTCTCGCGCTTGAAAAAAATATATCTCGTACTTCAACCTTTCTTCGTAGATATTGGTTAAGGGCACTAGATGTTATAAATGATTCAAACAACAGTTTTTTTTTAAGAAACTAGTCTCTCGAATCGCCACGAGTTTACCAATGGACTGCCGGGCTGGCAGTAAGTTTGTAACATTCTTCTTTTTGAAGAACAATTGAGTGTTTGTTATTTGCCTTCTAGAAAGTGAAAGGTAGATTACAAACACCTTGGATTTTATGAAGAGTAACCAAATATATATTAAATTAGGGTTATGATGCAGTTTACTTTTATGACTATCCTACAAAAACAAGACTTTGTCTATTAAGTAACATGTTATCCTTCTACATAATTTCCCGATTAAGTCAAGACAAGACACTTGTTTTACCTCCTAGAAGAAGTAAAGAAGCTTTGCCTCGAAGCACACGATAGCTAATGCTTTACAAACTCATTAAAAGAACGCACTTTTTACTCACGGTTTTCATTAACGTGAAACCTCCTTCCTTCACGTTGAAAACGGCAGAGAGCAAACGGCGTCAAATATGGCGGAAAAAAATTGTTCACCTGGTCATCTTTGTCTTTGTCTTTTGCCGTGAAAGTCATGGTTAACCTCCCTCTTCGCTTGTTTGATCACTGAATTGTCCTTTTCGACGAAAAGGAAACAAAATCCTTAAAAGTTAACTCAGTTGTAGGGCATATACGTCATGCGTCATTATGTGACTATGAAGTCATTGTAATTAGTGATTGGACGTCATCAACTTAATGAAGTCATAAAAATTTAACGAAGCTATTTTCAAACCAATCAAAACTATAACAGAATTCTCGGACATGATTGATTATCAGTCCGATTTGAGCACTAACTGGACAGCGTAGACATCATGCCTGTGTAATTAGACATTACGTGTCAAATGCGCGCACCGTTGTGCATTTCACTGAGTTGTTTCTTATGAAAACGTATAACCGATGGTTGGTTTCCTTCTCAAATTTTGTCATAGTTTTGATTAATTAGTGCGTTAATTTTGAGGGTTTCGTTTTGCTTCTTAATGACTTCGTTAACTTAAAAGACGAAGTTAATTTCATGACGTTGTATAGTTATGACCTTGTCTAATTTTATTAATGACATCGTTAAGCTCGAAGTTATTTGTTTGACGAGATAAACATATTCCTTGCGGATGATCTCTTCCGAATCTGGGTACTTTGTCTACGTTCGTTTAATTTCGGTTTTGGACAGATCCGCTACTTTTTTCACACTTTCGTCAAATTTTTGGGCACCTGCGTCTGTTTTTAGACGATTTCGTCTCTCTTTGGAAATTTGCATCCGTTGTTGTCTCGGACTCGTGCTCCCTTTTGGGTTGTTCCTCTGGCGTTTTTGACGAAAGGAGACTGGCAACGAACGAAAATTTAAAATGGCAGTACCCTAAGAGAGAGGAGAGAGCCTTATGGACATCGTCGATTTTACTTTGAGCCCAACTACAAAACTGATTTCAAATGTTTATTTATAGCAAAATATCCATTCAAACAATTTCTCTTCCTCCCTTCATTTTAAATGTCATCCTGGCAAACACTAGGCAAATATGAAACCCTCAGAACTTTTAGTGATTAATATATGCAGGGAGCAAAGGGCGAGATGAACGTTGCCTCAAAAATTAATTATTCATTCATTTTTGTCTCACACCTTGAGTCCCTGTGACATGCAGTCCATGGAGTTACAGTGTTTTGCTGCTTTGAACAGAAACTCGACGTACTCTACTGCTTCCATCGCTTGTAACTGCGTCGAAAGGTATTTTGAAATGAGTGCTTCCTTACCTCAGACTCAGAAGCCCAAATTGGAGATACTGTTGTGCTTTTGCAGGATACTAGTAGCTTTAAATGAGGTGAGAGAGAAATGCGTTTTACAGTGTTCTCTTCTTCGAAGGTCCAGTCAAAATCTATCTCCATGTCATTTGCTTAGCCTTTGCTTTTTATTTTTGTACTTTTACTTTCATAGTAAAGTTCATCTCAAATGCCGATTCTGAAAGTTTCCAGAGAGAGCTTCTACGTTAAAAATTTAACTCGTCGTAAAGTTGTGTTTGTCCTCTGGTTCACAGTCAAGCATTTTACGTAGCTTGTGCTTCTGTTCTTTAGGCTTATCGAATTACCTTACACGAGTCAGTCTCTGAACCACTGGAGTGTTTTTTTTTACAGATTTTTGGTGAGAATGTCGACTATCTCTCACTTTCAAGGGTGAATTCAGCTTATTACAGTCATCTCGTATAGCGTGGCGATACACTAAAACTTATTTGTGTACGCGGATTTTTAATTAGGCTCATTTATTTGCAATTTTTTCAGTTTTCAGTGGTGAGTGATTTCAGAGATGGAAGTTATGTATCAGACCGAGAGAGCCATGTTTAAAATACTTATAAGCGGCGTGGTCACCTTGCTTTTTACTGCTATTCTCTAAGAGAAGGAGGATTTTTTTTCTCCATTCTGAATGATTTCTTTGTTTGGTTCGTGTTTGTTTCCTTTAGCACTGCGGTAATTTAATGACGGAAGAGGCGGGAATCACACAGACAGCGGACTTGTTGTTGAGGGTAAGTCACGGAATCATGTGAACTATCAAATCTAATTTGTACCTACGCCGCGAAATTCGTGAAAAGTGAGAAGTCGGCCCTATTACTAACCATATAAACTACTCTCGTTGAGCAAAAAAAAAGAGGAAAAAAAGGAAGGTGGAGTGGGTAACGAAATTTACCAATTAATGTTTTGGTGAGAATGGAAGTTGAGCATAACTATTCAGCATCTTTCACTGTTATTCCTTTCCCTAGAGGCTATATTCTTAGCACGGACTGCCATTTCATGGGGTGCGACAACAAACTGATCATTGAATATAATGTGTAGAGATCTGCAGAATCGCGAGAAGGAAGTGAAAACTTTGATTGAAAAAGAGGATTGGAAGGCTGGAATGAGGAATGCACGGAGTGATATAAAAGATCTTGGATAAACGCGAGTTCTTCAATGTTTTGTATTGCTTGTAGTTCAAGATAACTCATGACAATTCAACAAAAAGAGAGGTGCCAAAATTCTCATTGTATGCCGCTATTGTTTGAACTATTAAACACTATTTCGTTGATCTGGCATTGTTATCTGCAAGATAAAAGTTACTAAATGTTGAGGGTAGTTACAATTATTAAAACATTGAAGAGCCCTATTTACACCATTTCAAGCTAAAAAATGTACTTTCTGAACAAGAAAAAGGATTTGTCGCGGGATTTTAGTGTAATGGTCGGGACGTGGGTAGTTTTGAAACGAACTGTTGACAATAACAATAACGTTTTGATAACTTGAGCGGCAATCTTCATCTGATTTAATGAACAAGCTGTTGTTATTTGATTGTCGATAGCCTGGTTGGTTTTGCGGAGGATCTCAAACGAGACCACCGAGGATGCTTTAGAAAACACTGACCCATAATTGACTTCTCGAATAATCCATCCAGTTGACGTCACATAAATCACCGGTGGTATAAGTTTACAACATATCAGACAGTTTATCTCACAAAAGAAAAAATTATATGAAAAAAAAAGAAACACTCGACTTTGTCTTTTTTTCGTTTTTCAAGTCACTTATTTCGTTTGTAGAATGGATGGACGGAGATGAAAACTGTTATTGGATAAGAGGAATGGAAACTGAGAATGGGAAACGAACAGAGAGAAGTAAAGAACTCGGCTAAACGTGAGTTTTTCAATTTGATGTTTTACTGGTAAATCAAAGAAATCCATTACAATGTAACTTGGAGAACGAGGAAAAAATCTTTAACGATTTCTAGCATGGATTCAAGCATCATATAATAATGAATTAATGGATAAACACTTTAAGGTGTTGCGTTTGCCTTTCGCCCCTTCTTGCTAAGTTCCAGGAATATTCCAGATAGTAGCAAAAGTTTAAAGACTGCAAAATCAAAGCTATTATAAATTACGTTTTCTTTCGGTAGAAATATTTTCAAACAAATATAGTGCAGTGCCGAAGGAATTTAAAAAATCGTAAAACTGGATAAAATGTTTTGAGTTGAGAGGGGATCCTTCTCAACCAAATTGGAAATAGTATTATAATAAAAACTGAAAAGTTAAGCTTAAAATCGCTCAGACGTTACTCGAAAGTTTGTGGTAGAACAAAATGTAGACATAATTTCCATGTGAAATAACTCCATACACGAGGTAGACTGCTAACTTTCGTAAATATTTTCAATCTATCATTATTTATAACTTAATACCGTTTTGAGTCAGAACGTTTTTATAACAAACCTAGACATGGACTGTCTGAGATTGTGCAGAGTGAATGTTTGGCTAAAGGTAGGTCTCTGTGTGGAAAAAAACCGGTTTTTTTTTAAAATTGAAACTATATTCGCTATGAGTCTCTATGGAACAGCGAAGATAACCTAGGAACATGTTGAACTATAATTAGCTTTTTGGAGTTTATCTAGACAAATTGCAATTTCGTACGACATAATAATGTCGCTTGTAAACAAAGCCGAACCATTCCTTATTAAGTTCAGAGTTAGACTTTCACATCGACCTAAACTAAAACGTATTTTTCAAAGCGTTACACCGAGAAATTTGATTTGCGAGTGTTTTCAATGTGTGTTTGTTCGAACGTTTCAGAGTTTTACCCGTTATTCATTCTGGAATATTTAAAATTTTGCTTTTGAAAAATTTTTTTAAATTAATTCAGGCAAAAATTTTAGTTTTCGCTTTTCCTTTTTTCAGTGATTGTTTCAGGGTCTAATAGCAAAATCAAGAAATCCTCATAATACAAAACCATTTTAACATTATTACTAGTAGTATCATAGTTATTAAAGAAAATATTTCCCTT